TTTTCTCTTTAAACAGCGCACAAAGTTTATGTCTATCAAACACTCCTTCTTTTAATTTTAGCTTCCAAAATTTTTCGAAATTTCGTTTGAAGATACTGGAAATACTCACCTATATCTTATCTTGATGTGATATTAAGCAATTCAGTTTTACTCCTGTTTGATGAACCTAAAATTAGAGCTGCCGCTGATACAAATGATATGCGGAACCCAATTGGAACAAGCTGTTCAATTTCACAATCGAATCATAAGATCGCAATTAAATCTTAGACTAAACAGGATCCGGATTTTAAGATAGTTTAATAAATTAATTTAGTGACGACAAAAATCTCTAAATAAAATTATTAAATTATCGTCATATAAGACAGATTTTTTGTCAGAGAGGTTATTGACAAAAATTAATCTTAATTATTAAAAAAAAATTATTTCATTTAATATTCAATAAAATAATTTTTTTTCTATTATCATATTCTATTCCAATATATGTATATTTAAATTTCCATTCTAAGTTTGATTAACATTTGCATAAGTATTGTTGAATACTATGAAAAATTATGAAATGTAAACAAGAATTAGACTATTAATTAATTTGTGAATTATAAATTTGCTTTGTTCGATTTGACTCGTGGCGATAACATTATTTATTTGAATTGATTGCGAAACTGAAAAAAAAAACTAGTAGGTTTTACTATTTTTTAACTACCGACCTTGTAGTTGTACTTTAACTACATATTTACGTAAAATCAACTATTACTTATTAACTTCTTAAAAATAGTTACATTAACTACATGAACATGATTAGATTAACTAAAAAAGTAGTTATTTCAACTACTTTCTAATCAACTACCGAATGGTAGTTGAATTTCTCGGCAACATTTTTTCAGTGTACGAAAATTTATGTCAAAAATAGACTTAGAATTTTAGACGACGCTGGTTGGTTTTATCTTAAAGGAAAATTATGAAAAGAAAATTTTTACAAACTTTTATCCTATTTGATACGTGAGCGATCAATTTTAATTTGGAAAACATTGTTTGATATTCTTATAAAAATTCTTTTCTTTATGCAGATGAGAATATAGTGGTAATTTATTTTCAAAAAAATTTCTTTTATCCTATTATAAAAAGGTCTTTAGTCATTATTTATTAAAACTTTAGTAAAAAAATTTTAATAAAAATTAGTAAAAATTCTTACAAATGTTAATTAGTAGCTCACTTTTCACTAATTAAAATTTTGAGATTAGCGTTTTGCTCTACATGCGTGACGCTTTTTAGTAAAACTAATAAAATCAATTAGTCGAATATAATATCAACATAAAACATCATATAAAACATCATTATACTACTGTTCTATTAATACAAAATAATTTAATGATTAAAAAACAATAATCAGCGCGCGAAGGTCTCGTATGCATAAATTTGCAAAAGACTTAAAAAATTATCAAATAATATATTAATTTTGTGTATAATTTTTTTATTTTAGGATTTCTACAAAAATATTGTCGATACAATAATTGTAAAGGAAGAATTGTTTGAAGAAGGTGATCAACGATTATTATTGAGAGTTAAATATATCCTGAAATTAATGACTATATCAGTCAAAATGATTCAGATTTATTGAAAGTATTTTTTTAACCAGAAAATCATCATGAAATGAACTTAAATTTAAATTATTTCCCTGTGAATTAGCCAAATTTTTTTACTCTTATAATAAAAATCTATATTTAAATTAAAAATAAATGGAACGTTATTTGGTTTTATTATATACTTAATTTAGCACTAATTGTAAGTAAAGTTAAAAAATTATTTACAAGTTTGTAAAAGTCTGATAGTATCTGCTTACTTGAAAAATTTTAAAAATTGACGAGAATAAATTATTGCTAAAAACAAATGCAAAACTCATTGTATAACATTAGTGAAAATATGATATCATATTCGTAATCAGCGACCTCAAAAACCCCCGAGTAACGAATTTCAAGCAAATAGAATCGATTTTTTTAGAGTAGACAAATATTACACATCAAAATAATCCAAAAACTTTTAAACGCGTTTTTCTCGAAACAAGATTTTTTACAAGAGGTCAAATATGAAAAAATAAGGCAAAAAACGCAGTCCCAGTGGGCAAAAAAACATGTTCGTTTTTAAAACGTTTTAAGAACGTTTCATGTCTGGCAAATAATGTTCTAGAACATTATTTAAACATCTATGTTTTTAAAATGTTTCAGAACATTATTTGGCAGACATGAAACGTTCTTAAAAACAAACATGGTTTTTTGCCCACTGTGGTGTTTTAAAAAAGTGCCCGCCATTTTGTCATTTATTTAACATTTTAACTACTTTATAGGTATCTTTACACAATTTTCACTAAACATTGCAATTAAATATCGTTAATTTTTATTTACACAAATATAAATAACAGTCTCGTTACTGAATTTATGTTTAGGAATTAATTGCAATTACATTATGCCAAAAAATTGAGTAATTTTGATAATAATTTATGTTGAGCATTTTCTATTTTAAATTACATCAATAAATTATGTACAAAATGTCAATTTGCTCAAAACAGTAGGAAACTAATTTAAGTTAAAATTATTTTAGGAAAAAAATATTTCATCGGTCAAATGTAAGTAATTTTTTTATGTTTTGAATTATCTTTTAAACGACATAATTTCTTCTTTAGTTTTTAATATTTTAGTTTATTTTATTCTGACTACATTTATAAAAATGAAAGTAAGGCATTATTCAATACAATTATAACATATCCCTGGTTTCAACATTAAAAAATACTTACCGTTGACAGATGAAATAATTTTTTATTAAACAATTTTAACCTAATTATTAATCTTTTAAAAATTCCCTAATTATACAGCTTTTTTAACTGTTTAAAATTACTTACTTTACTTTTTTATAATTTAATTCCTAAATAAATTGTGGATATTACAATTTGACAAATCAAAACAATCATTTTACGTAAAACTACGAAAAATGACATTTAACTACGAAGTCAAAATGAAAATGACTTTGACGTCAAAGTTAAATCAAAATACATAATCGCTACCCAGAATTGAAAAAATCAGTACTAAAGTTCAGCAGAACATGTTCTTCCAGGGAGTCGATTATGTAATTTGATTTGACTTTGACGTCAAAGTCAAATTTATTTTTTAATTGCAATACGTCAAATTGCTATCAAAAAATAAATTTGAATGCGACGTTAAATTGAAATAAAAAATTAAATTTTAATTTAACGTCTAAGTTAAATAAAACAATGAATTTGTTGAATTAAATTTGACATTGACGTTAAAATGAATTTGATTTTGACGTCAAATCAAATTACATAATCGACACCCAGGCAGAGGAAGGAACCTTATATGGTCGTGGAATGGCTAATTAGACGTAAGTTTAAAAAAAAAAAAAAAGAGTACATACGATTTTTTCTTCGTCAAACTTTAAACGTGTTTTTCTCTAAACACATTTTTTTGCGCGCAGGGCATGATTCCCTTTAGACGGCTGAACCGATTTCGATGTTTGACGGATCAAATTAAAGCTTATTCAATTTAGGGGTCCATCAGGTTGCGTTTTTTTTCAAAAAAAAAAAAAAATTGTTCTTATTTTTTTTACGTTAAATCAAAAAAATGGGAAAAAAACAAGTCTTTCTTTTTCAAATGACCCGCATTTTTTTAAAGAAGGGGTTTTTAAAAGTTTATTACTTCAATTTGCTCAGGTGTACTTCCTGGGATGTCGATTATGTAATTTGATTTGACGTCAAAATCAAATTCATTTTAACGTCAATGTCAAATTTAATTCAACAAATTCATTGTTTTATTTAACTTAGACGTTAAATTAAAATTTAATTTTTTATTTCAATTTAACGTCGCATTCAAATTTATTTTTTGATAGCAATTTGACGTATTGCAATTAAAAAATAAATTTGACTTTGACGTCAAAGTCAAATCAAATTACATAATCGACTCCCGACATGATAATTCTCTTGTCCCTTCTAGACATAACATAGAAAATTATTTTAATTCTAATATTTAATTCATAACTAAATAATTTTTGTTTACAATATATATTTTTTGAGCATGAATAAAGTTTAAAAATAAAATAGAGAATAATTTTGACAATCATAATAAAGAAAGTATTTTTTTATTTATTATTATTATTATTATTACACCGTCCGACACGATTTTTGTTCCACAAAAAAATCAAACGTTTTCGGAAACTATGACCAACTAAAATATCCGTATCTGGCCGCTTTGCTAGATCAAGTCGTTTATGGTTTTAATGGGTGGAAACAACTCCTAAATGAAAAGTGATAAGATATCTTTTAAAAATTATTAATACTTTATAAAACTTGGTATCTAAAAGTGGATTTTTCACCGCCATATTGGATCCGCCATTTTGAATTTTGAAAATCTGACATCAGATTCATAATCAGCAACCCCAAAAACTCTAAGATACCAAGTTTTATAAAATATTAATAATTTATAAAAGATATCTTTTCAGCACTTTTCATTTAGGAGTTGATTTCAGCTTTAAAAAAACACAAACGGCTTGATCTAGCAAAACGGCCAGACACGGGTATTTTTTTTTTGGTACTAGTTTCCGAAAATGTTTGTTTTTTATACGGATCAAAAAATAGTTGAATTTTGTCGGACGGTGTTATAATTATAATTATCATTTATATATTTAAATACATTTTTTTAACTATAAAAGTGAAGTGCTTATCCTATTAAAAAATTTTAAGCAAAGATATTTTTATAACTAAACAAAAGAAATATAATATTTTAGTGAAGAATGAATAAAATTAAATAAATGTTTTCTAGTTTTATTATTAAGCACTATTATTTCTAACGTACATTCAAATTTAAATTCTCAGTTTTATTAACATAAGTATACATAATTATTCTTCGAACATTATCAAAAAACATGAAATGTCAACAAGAATCAGACTATTAAGTAATTTGTGAATTATAAAATTGTTTAGTTGGATTCGACTCGTGGCGTCAGAATTATTCATTTAAAGTGACTACTAGTATATATAAAATTAATTAAAAAAATTTTCATACATTTCAAAAAAAAAAAAAATTGAAAACTTATTCTGAGCATAAGAATATATTATAAAAAAGAAACATTTACATTAAAAAAATAGAAAATTAAAAAAAGTCAAATACAACAGTTCCATTAATTGTGAAAATGACAAAAATTAATTATATTATTAATTATAGTTTCATTATTTTAATTCTAGTGCCATTTTCTCAATCATTAGATTATCGTTTGCCAACTAATGCAATACCACGTAATTATAAATTATTCTTGAATCCCGATTTAACATCTGGAAATTGGGATTATGATGGAACTGTAATTATTGGATTAGATATATTAACATTAACGAAAAATCTAACACTACATTCTTCTAAATTAAAAATACATAATTATCGAACAAAATTAAGTAATGATTCAATTTTCATTCAACCAACTCGTCATACTTTGGACAAAAAAAGAGAATTTTTGATTTTAAATTTTGGGACTAATTTATATCCAGGTTATTATAAACTTGAAATAAAATTTAAAGGCTATTTGAAAAATAATACTAGAATTGGATTCTACAGAGACTCGTATATTGACGACAACAATCAAACAATGTAAGAGTTTATTTCATTAATGTTTTTATAGTTACTACATATTTAAGTTAATGATTTTCACAGTTATTTTTGAAACAATTTCTTTAATATAATAGTCAGTGTAAACGTATTTTCTTTTTTGTTATAGATATTTTGCTGCAACGCAATTTGAACCAACTTTCGCTCGTCGTGCATTTCCATGTTGGGATGAACCCGCATTAAAAGCCACTTTTAAGATTGCTATAAAACACTATTCAAATTATACAGCTCTCTCTAATATGCCGGCAATAAAAGGCAAACTGATACATATGGATAATGGAAAAATTTGGACAAAATTTGCAATAACCCCATTATTATCTACTTACACAGTGGCATTCACGGTTTCTGATTTTAAAGAGATAACCAATCAACACAAGAACTTTTCCGTTTGGACAAGAAGAAATGTTGCTGATCATCTAATTGAATATGGATTTAAAGTTGCAGTTGACGCAATGAAAAGTTTTGAAAATTTCACCAATATTCCATATTCCCTTCCAAAAATGGATATATTTCTTGTGAAAGATTTTTTCATTTCCGGAATGGAAAATTGGGGATTAATTCTAATCAAGTAAATAATTTTATTTTTTTATTTATTTATTTCAAGTACTTCCCGCAATACTTTATGAACCATTTAAACAAAAATTTTATTTAAAAAAATGAATTATTTTATAACGGATGGGATTTCACTAAATTAAGAAATCTTTTTTTTTTAGAGAAAGAAATTTTTTGTCAAACGAAAGAACTAATAATATAATGTTCAGGACTATCGGAGGAATTATATGTCACGAAATAATTCATCAATGGACAGGAAATCTAGTTTCACCTGCATGGTGGTCGGATATATGGATAACAGAGGGTTTACCAAACTATTATCAAACTTTAGTTTTTGACAAAGTATGTATAAAATGAAATAAAATAAAAAATTTCTACCAGGCTCGATTTAATTTCGACGCCAAAAGTTAACCCCTTATTAGTGTCGGCCTTGACGCACTCTTTAAAATTTTTACGCTTAGAGTATAATAATGTCATTAAAGTCTAAATAGAGTCGTTAATGAAAAAGTTGTTTAAGAAGAAATATTTACTGTTTTTTACTGCATAGATGGAAGTACAAGAGAATACTGTGGCACAAATATTCCATCAAAAGTTGCGGGGAAGTTTCTTACTTGAAGAAGATCGAACTTGCCAACCTCTTCATCAAAAAATAAATGATGCATCTAATATCTTTCATGATATTACAACACTTTATTCTAAATGTCAGTTAATTAATATTTAAAATCATTAACACGTGTGTAACTATTTTTAGGCCCACATTACTCCTAAACTGTCAGCAATATTGGCATCATTTTCTTAATATTCTAATATTCCCCAGAACTTCATTAGTATCTGTAATATTGCTGAAATTTTAGGTGCAATAAGCTCAAAAAAGAACAACAATTTGTTTAGAATTTTCGTTAGAAGAAAGTAGTATATGACGCTCTACAAAAAAAGGGAACTTAGTTGCAAAAAATTGTATAGGTTAAAATTGTGATTTTTATATTGAATGTATACATAGAGGATCAATTCTTAATAAAAATCACAAATGTTTATGTCATCATTAGATCCAAAATATTCAAAAGAAACTGATTTTGATTTTATGCATGTCTAAAAATGAACGTTAGATGAATTTAAAACTATCACTAAAAATAATTAAAAATTTTTTTCATTTAAGGTTCCTTTTATCGTAAAGCATCGCACATATAATATTTCTTGTCAAATATTGCTTTCAAATAATTTTAAAACATAAACTAGCTTTAAAGAAAAAAATTTATTAATTTTTTTGCAACTTTTATAAACTTTTATTTCCATTTTATAGCGCAGATAATTTTTAATATGTTAGCCAGCATAATTAGCAGACAGGTTCTAAACAAAGGAATCAAGAAAATTTTAAAAGAATAGTAAGTAATTTTTAGTAATTTTTAATGTATTAAAAAAAAATTACAAATTATTTGTTTCAAAAAATGACAATTAAATCATTATTTAATTTTATTTATCATTTTTTAAAATAAAACAGGATATATGGTTAATTTTATAAACAAGAAAAGTTTGTGTAATTAAAATTTTTAAGTAGTAAATCCTATACTATTTTATTTTTTTTAATTTTAACTAATATTTAATTTTGATTCAAAAGAAATCATCTATTGTTAAATTTCAAAGTATTTAAATAACAAATAATATAATAAATTCATAATTAACCTCAAAATAATATTTTACAAAAATAGCCAATTTAGTACAATTTCAACGGATCAGTTTTTTGAAACTATTCAAGAATCTGTGAACAATTCCACTTATTTACGGGGTAAATACGACTCATTGGATGTCAAATCATTAATAATGCCTTATATTACACAAGTTGGATATCCAGTTATCGATGTATTTAGAGATAATGCAACAGGAATTATAAAATTGACTCAAAAATGTTATGTATGTGAAGAGAATAATTCCACGGATCTAAAATGGCCAATTCCAATAACTTATACAACAGAATCTTTACTTGAGTTTAATTTTTCACAAACTATTAATCTTTTTACTCCTTCAATGAATGAATTAATCATTAATAATGTTAGTATAAATGATTGGATTATTTTCAACATACAGCAAAATGGTACTCTACAATCAATATACTTTTTTCTAAGAATAATAAAAATTTTCATTTCCAAAAAATATTTATAAAAAATTTGTATTAATTTAATAATATAAACATATTTTTCAGGGTATTATCGAGTTAATTATGACGAAACTACTTGGCAACAAATAACAGATTTCATGAATTCCAAGAACTATACGAAAATTCATGTCAAAAATAGACTTAGAATTTTGGACGACGCTGGTTGGTTTTATCTTAAAGGAAAATTATCAAAAGAAAATTTTTACAAACTTTTATCGTATTGTATACGTGAGAGATCAAATTTAATTTGGTCATCATTGGGTGATATTCTTATAAAAATTATTCTTTATATGAAGGACAATGTACTGGTAATTTATTTTAAAAAAATTTATTTTACACCTACATAAATTTAAAAGAGACTTAAAAAATTGTCAAAAAATTTATTAATTTTGTACATGAATTTTTCTTTTTAGGATTTCTACAAAAATATTGTCGATACAATTATAAAGGAAAAAATGTTTGAAGAAAATGATCAACGATTGGTGGATATTAAAGAAAACCTTAGAATATTATATCTCTGTCATAAGAACTCAGAACTATTTAGAAATATCTTTTAACTAGAAAATCATTTAAAAAAATATTTATTTGCAAATTATTTTCTTTGAATAGCTAATTGTTTTATATTTCTTGATTACAGAGTAATTACTTCATTATATTTCGACTAAAGTGGTGGAGAAGGATTATCTTTTTCATTAATATTTAATTAATATTTTAATTAATACTAAATAATTCTGTAAGATATCTGGTGTATAAAATAAAAAAATTATTTTAAAATTTCTATTATTTCTCTTAAAATATACGAGTTTAAAGAATAGGAAGTTAAAAAACTATCACTTTTTTAGTACATAGAAAATAATTTAAAAAACTGAATAATTCTTTAAAATTCAAAAATTTTTATTGGTATTTGTTTAGGGTGATTAAATTCATTAGTTTTTATTGTTTAAAATAGTTAAATATTAAAAAAATAATTAAAATGTGATTTTAAAGTTCAACAATCAAATAACATCATTTGACGATTTTTAATAATAATTAATTATAAATGCCGAATTTTTTATTTTTCTTTAACGTAGATACTAGCTTGTAAAGTTCGAGAAAATACAGCTAGTGCGTTTATTTAACTTACTACTTTTTATGCATTAAAAGTTAAAATAAAGAAAGTGCCATGAAAGTTTAAATGTTCATCTCCATTTTTTTACAAATTATTATTAAAAATTTCGAAATTAAATTATTTGACTGTTTTTAATTTTTAAAGTTTATTCTATAATTTAAATTGTAAATTAAAGTTTTTTTCATTTTAAAATATAAATGTGTTTCTGTAAGTCGTAAAAATGGTTAACCTTCAACTTTTTTACCTCTTCTTCATTGTTCGTTGACAAATATTTATTTAATAGTATTAGAAGATAAGAAAATTAAACAATGAGTTAATTTCTTATAATGCTTTAAGTTTTAACGCACATGTTTTTAATTGTTTATAATAAGACGAATTTAAAAAATTTTGAATCGTTAATTCTTGAAATAAAGCTACTGGTAGTTTTTAGACACAACATTGAAAAGTTTACATAATTAGTCATTTATTTGATAAATAAGTTCAGATGTTTTTTCTGTTTTTTTTATTCAATAAAGAATTTTTCCATAAATTATTATTATTAAAAATTATAATTTTTTTGAAATTTATAATTAATTATAATTAAATTTTATAAATAATTCAATTGATTTTAAAACTATCGATGAAAATTTAAATTTTATTTATTTATATTTAATTTTATAATTACATTATTTACAAAAACATTTTTGTAAAGAATCTTTTTTTTTGAAGGGCTGGAATTGTTATGTATAACATACTTCAAACACATTGTTTGCACGCGTCGTTTGAACTCGATTTAACCCGAAGATTCTGGTACTTCTAATTTTTTTGTTCTAAAGTGTTCTCTGATATTTAAATATTAAGACTTTTCAGACTAGCGACGCTATTCAGAGTTTGCCTAGTATCTGAGTAGCACTAGAACTGGGCCAAGGTAGATCTTCCAGACTAGCGATGTTAGACGCTTTCTAGATTGCGCCAGGCTTGAATCTAGGCGTTTCAGAAGATTTTTTTACACGGGTTTCAGTTATACCTGAAAGTCATTTCCTATACTAATTGAGTAATTCCATGGTAAGTGATCATGGAAATTTCTTTCAGGTAAGGGATTTAGATGAAACTGCAGGAATTGATTCTTTTGAATGTAACTAAAAAAATCGTAGAGCTTTTTTTGAAAAATTTTAATAAACGTAGGAGATATTGAACTTTGAAATTTTTCAGCCTTTTATTTTTGAAATAGCATAACTTTTTATCAGTGAAAAATATTAAGCTCAATTTTTTTTTAAATGTTCGTAGAAAACCAAACTTTTTACTCACTTCTAGATCCTCTAGAAGTTTCATAATGGGATCTGCATAACTTTCCGAGAAATAAATAAAAATTTAGATCGAAACGCGTGATTTTTGCAGTATCGATATATACAATAATTACAATTATTTTATTTATCAAAAATAAATCAATTAAATTATATAATAAATAATATATTATATAATAAATAAATTAATTAAATATAAATAGTTGTTTTAAATTCCTAATTTTGCATTAGTAAAAGTGCCTTTCGACCAGAATAATATTTTACAAATTCTTGTAAATTTAGTATCACCATGTAGCAGATCGGGTATTTTTATTATTTAGAAGTTAAATCCATTTCAAGTTAGACAATAAATTTACAAAATCTACTGAAGTAGATTTAATGCCTGCTTTGCTTAGATACTGATTAAAATGTTTGTAATATTTATCCTAATAGTAAAAATCAGTGTAAGTAGTAAAAATTAGTCTCACGCAGAGAAAACCAAATTAATTATAAATATTTTACTATTAACAGTATTCGATAATTTTTATTTAGGCAAAATATTTTAATATTCGTGTGTTTTTAGAGTTAGTAGTGAAGGACAGTTTAAGTCAGATGATAAATTTGAAAAATTCTTCTAATCGTCAATAGTTAGAGGCAATTTTAATCAAGCAATACGTTTTATATAATTTGCAACCAAAAGTATTTTGCTATAATTACAATACAAATGAAAAACGAAGCTCATAAACAGTAAGAATGAAATTATCTTTTGCAATTAAAATATAAGACAATTTACAAAAGATCAAAAACCGTGTAACAGGTTAAGCAAAATTTATGAAAACAATTCACAAAAGTAGTGAAGTTATCATTTATTGCACGATCTCGAAATTAAGCGATAACTGCATAACACTGAACAAAGATGGGCTGCGACAAATTTTACATTTTTATTTATTTCTCGGAAAGTTATGCAGATCCCATTCTGAAACTTACAGAGGGTCTAAAGGTAAGTATACACTATCACCAAAAAAATGGAGTTTTTTCAAAAATCAAAAAATAAATTTTTTTTTGTTAAATATCAGCAAAACTTCAAATTAATTTTTTGGCAAAAATTTTTATTAAAAAGTTTGGCTTTCTACGAACATTTAAAAAAATTGAGCTTCATAGCTTTCACTGATAAAAAGTTATACTATTTCAAAAATAAAAGGCTGAAAAATTTCAAACTTCAATATCTCCTACGTTTATTAAAATTTTTCAAAAAAAGCTTTACGATTTTTTTAGTTACATTCAAAAGAATCAATTCCTGTAGTTTCATCTTAATCCGTAATGCTCTGAAGTAAGTACGTTTAAAATCATATATCTACAGTACAGTTGATACAGCTGCGCAGAACAGTTGTTTGGCTCAGGCATTGAGAATCAACAGTTCAAATCTTCGGACCGTCAAATTTTTTTGTGCACAAAATTTTAAAATGGAATTTATAAAAATTCAACTGGCCTTGATTATTTTCGACTGTCCAAGATGGATATAAAAAAATCCGGCAGCCCCCTGCGGGGGCGGCCACATTCTTGTCACGCGCTTTGCGCGTAGGGGCACGCTTCGCTCGCTAGTTTGAGCGCGCCCCTGGGCGCGCGAAGGATAACACAGCCCCACAAAAAAACAAAAGTGTCATGTACTTTTGACCGGAATACCCTAACCCTATGTATTTTGACGCGCTGAACACGAATCCGAAGTACGTTTTGCTCCATCACGTCAGGATTTTTTTCTAACCTCAAAAAACATGTCGCATTTTGAGAAGTAGGCGATTTTTTAAAAAATTGATGTATTAACTTCAAACTTGGTATCTGGGGTTTTTTTATGTCGCTGATTACGAATCTGATGTCAGATTTCCGAAATTCGATATGTCTGATTCAATATTAAGGAATTATTTTTAAAAAATTGTCGGATTATTATAAAATTTGGTATATACAGGTTTTCTAAGTTGCTGACAAGTAACACTAGGGAAGTGCCATACGCCGATCTTTCAGAAACTTGGCAGTTTTGTAGTTTTTTGACAACAATTTTTCCCCAAAAGCTGATTTATGAGGGGGAACTACCCCTTTAATTTTTTTTTGGTAGAGGGACATTATTTTACGAAATTTTTTAAAAATTAATGTGCAATAGTGTATCTGGGGGTTTTTTGGGTCGCTGATTACGAATCTGATGTCAGTTTTCAAAAATTGATAATGGCGTATCTAATATGGCCGATAGAAGTCCATGTTCGATATGCCATTTTGAATTTTTGAAATCTGACGCTACTCATTGTGAGACCAGGTTTTTTTTGTGCAAAAACGTTAAAAAATATTAATTATTGTCAGAGAAATAAAAAAAATAGTAAAAACATTGAAAATTTATCATATGATGAATAATAATATGTTATCCTATAAGAGTTCATACACATTTAATTTACACACACACTTGTTGCTTCTTTGTTAAAATATTGACTCTTTGCAAGTAAATAAATTTTATTCAAAATACGATTTAATTTTCAAAATTTGGGGCGCATGTTAAAATAGATTCATAAGTGAATCAGTAAAAGTTTCTTTGATACTGAAATATATTGTTCGACAAACAGATATTTTTCAAGGGTTCGGTTTTTTACACGTGCCTTTTTATTGCTTTAAAATTTTTAACATTTATTAAATTTAATTAAAAATGTTAGTTTTTTTGGATTTAACTCATTAAGACCCATAGATTACACAGCGATTCTAACGCCAAACTAACTATTAGATTTATAGCATAATCGAAAAAATTACCCTTATTTTTTCTTTTTGCAAAATAATTTAATCGATTTTTAAAAAACCAGTAACGCCATTCAAAAGAACGCGGAAAAATAATCAACTTTTCTCTTTACAACTTTTTTATCTGTCCACATCTTTTTGTCGCTTATCACGGTGCGCCTAAACTGGATTTGAATAAAAAATCTTTGCTGATGAAAATTTCTTCTTGATTTTGAATCAGTAGTGTTCCCTGATTAAAAAAATATAAAAACTAAAATAATCCGCAGAAGGGCTTTTCAAGAAAAGTGACTTTGAATAATTCACAGTCAAAAAAATTCTATAGAATATTCTATAGAATTTCTGTAGAATCTCTAAAGAATGATTCTATAGAATTTCTACATGAATTCTATAGAATTTCTACATGAATTCTATAGAAATTGCAAGAAAAATTGTAGAGTCAAATTTAAAGCTTTCTGAGGAGGTTTTTACTTTAATCATCGATTATTAAGAATAAAAAATATTAACTTCAAGTGTGCCTTAATATTTTTTAACTGACTGCTGCTTTTTGATGGAATCCTTCGAATAATTTTTTGTTCAAACACCTTCACTGTGCACCGCATCCAAAGGAAATTTTTTCGCTAATATTTTTAAGA